CTGAAGATTAGTAATTTGCATTCATAAAAATAAAAGAAATTAATAGGGTGAGCAAACGCTATACTTTTGTTCGGTGTTCACATATCTATCTATTTACACGCATAGACACATGCGGTAGAGGTCCCTCTTAGCCAATGGGATGCCAGGAAGATGCTAGGTAATAGCCAATAGCAGAGCAGCAATAAGTATGTCGCGTTCAGGAAACTCGGAGCTGCGAGTAGCAGCCTATACTGTATTTTTTCCCTTTTGTATCTTGAAATTTCTTTCGTAACAAGAGGCAATATTTTTACTGTTGAGGCGTTTCGTAACTTGAAAATTTCGCATGAAGAGACGTTCCTAAGTAGAGGTACCACTGTATTGCACTGCCCCCAAGAATCGCCCCAACAACCAATGGCCCTCACCCACTCACACGTACAGAGGCATTGCCTGGAAACGAGCACCTGACAGGATGTTGGGAGTGTTCTCACTATATTGTATTTAAGATAGCCGTTGTTCCTTTCATTTCAATCAAATGTAGGATTATATCCATCACTGACAAGGAATATGCAATTAGAGAAAAAAAACAAAACAAGTCGCAGCGGGAGCGGCCGAGTTGACCGCTTGACTTCCCGAGCGGTGCCGAATTAGCCCGGCCTCGAAGCAAAAGACCCGAGGGGGCACGGTGGCGCTCGGCCACCCAGGCGGTGATATGGTGAGCTGCTGATGAAGTGAAGGGTCACGACGCGGCTAAGTGAGACCTCACACCGGACAAGCAGGCCAGACCTCGGGCCAGGGAGGCATATGGGTGTGAAGGAGGTGTGGAGGCAGAGGTGGGGGAAACCGGGGGTGGCCAAGCTGTCCACGACGCCTCTCACGAGACCCCCAGCTGTCACAACAGACACTTACCAGCCCTCACACTAAACACCCACCAGGGAGGAAAGGCAACATCCTTCCTTTCTAACGCAAGGAAAGAAAGGTGGGAGGAAGGACGGGACAAGCGGAGTCTAAGCCTCTTCTTCCTGTTGCTGTGATGTTAGTGGAACATGAGGATACGACCAGCTTCTCAACTAAGTACTCCATTATTTCTCAGGCGAGGCTCCAACCCTGCTAATTATAACTGCAAAAGGATGACCTACATGATTATTTTAAGCCTGGACCAGACTGGTGAGAACCACGGAGCAGACAGTGGCAAAGCCTTGAACAAAACCCATCGCGGCACTCCAGGTGCAGATTGGAATTTCTTTCATCTTGATAATAAATAAGAAGTGGATCGCACGTAAACATATGTTAAAAGAAACCAATTAAGAGAATGAAACTTTTCACCATATCACACACGACGCATGCATATCATCATATCACACACATTGGATGCCAACATCTCGCCGGCATTAATAATAATGTGAGTACATTTAAAAAAAGAAGTTTCTTGTTTCATTTGATCTGAAATAGACCATATGGAATGCCATGAACATTATGGCAAAGCTGAATTCGACGGAACAGGGAAAGTGATGAAACATAATGTACGGGGGGGCGACTGGGCCTCGCACGCATACCAACTTGCTGCAACCAAGTAACGTGACCCCTGGCGTTTGGTTTGAAACGCCACCTATATTGTTTTACTGAACCGCAAACAACATGGCGGAATTGTCGGAGACCAAAAAAAAAAAAAAAAAAAAAAAAAAATGCTTTCTGACTGGCCATAACGTCTTTGTTGGTACTCAGGAAAACAAGTCAGAGAGCACCGCACGTCATGCAATGGAATGACTTCAGTGGAGTTGCGCCTCTGCTTTCCATTCATGAGATTTATTTTTTTTTAATCATCATCAATTCAATTTAAGATCCACCCTTGAAAATAAATTTTAAAATGTCTACATGTTAACATTCTGACACTGCGGGGATGTCGTATCGTCTTTGTGTTTTACAAAGTTGCCACTTATAGCCATATGGTAGAAGGGAGATATCGGAAGGAATAAGAAAGATTTACCCCTTTAAAAAAAAAAATAAACGAAATGAGCTGATTAACACAAGCACAATGGCATTTTGTTTGTGCCGGGCGATGCCTCTGCTTGTATTTTCGTTATATTGCCATACCTCCCTCAATGTGGCAGTGATCTCATCCATGCGGACGGTAAACACTTTCCCCTCACCATAACGTCTTTGTTGGTACTCAGGAAAACAAGTCAGAGAGCACCGCACGTCATGCAATGGAATGACTTCAGTGGAGTTGCGCCTCTGCTTTCCATTCATGAGATTTATTTTTTTTTAATCATCATCAATTCAATTTAAGATCCACCCTTGAAAATAAATTTTAAAATGTCTACATGTTAACATTCTGACACTGCGGGGATGTCGTATCGTCTTTGTGTTTTACAAAGTTGCCACTTATAGCCATATGGTAGAAGGGAGATATCGGAAGGAATAAGAAAGATTTACCCCTTTAAAAAAAAAAATAAACGAAATGAGCTGATTAACACAAGCACAATGGCATTTTGTTTGTGCCGGGCGATGCCTCTGCTTGTATTTTCGTTATATTGCCATACCTCCCTCAATGTGGCAGTGATCTCATCCATGCGGACGGTAAACACTTTCCCCTCACAAACACGTCTCGTGTTAACACGCCTCCGTCTGCCGAATGCCGCCTCCAAGATCCGTCCAACAATCTCCCTGCCCGCCACAAGTTCTTTCCACATGAGAGCTGATCGACAGCGTGTCCCGGGACCGTGCGTATCACTTAACCCCGTGTCAAAACACAGGTGTAAACGTAAGCCCCGAGTGCGGGCGAAGGTCCTGCGCTCATAAAGGAATGCGCGAGCTGGGAATAGCATCGTGCATGTAAGCGAGGCCCCTGACAGAGTGTACAGAAGTGAGCTGCAGGGGAGGGGAGCTGGGACACGGCCAAACGCTGACAGAAGGGAGGGCACCCCTCCACTTTGGGGGATTTAGAACACTCCGGGAAGTAAATGTGACTCAGCGAAGATGAAAGAAAGAAGCGGCGAGGAGGGCTTCGGGCCCCAAATAAAAGGTTTAGAGTCTTTGGTCTTACCATGGCGTGCCGTATATCCGGAATCCCTTTATGGTGACGTCCGAGTCCTGCAGGTACACACAGTTTGTAAGGAGCGACTGCACATTGTCAAAGTCCTCCGGTTTGAGTTTGGAGACTGAGGGGAAACGGTAGTAATCCTGCTTGACCAGCTCAGCCATAAAGTCCTTATCAAAGGTCAACTCGTGGTTCCCGGCGATGACCACCTTGAACTCATAAGGAAGGCCACCTGGGACAAGAACAAACAGGGAGATTGGTGAGCGACAGCCCCAAATCTTAAACACAGTTTAAGAGTAAAACATTTCATCCGGGCATATTCTCATCGACGGCAATGTACTCTTGAATTAAGGCACAGGTGTCAAAGTCAAGGCCCGGGGGCCAGATCCGGCCCGCCACATCATTTTATGTGGCCCGCAGGAGCAAATCATGTGTGTCAACTTTCATGATCATTGCTGAAATCTGTGCCAGAATGTCAAATTGTCCTGGGAAAGAAATAACGTTGAGATTTTACATCGGCCCTCCGAGGGAAGCCGTAACTCTGAAGTGGCCCGCGACAAAAAATGAGTTCGACACCCCTGAAATAAGGTGTACAAAAGAAAAACTGAGCTAAGGAGGAAACATTTTTAACGTCTGATCTAAAAAAAAAAAAAAAAGGGGCTCAGTTGGAGAATTTTTTAAAATCTGACCGCCCCCCAAAAAAAAAAAAAAAAAAAAACAA